CCCCAAAACCCCAAAACCCCAAAACCCCAAAACCCCAGCATTAAAACATATAATTGAAAATGAGATGTCTTACAAATGGTCTTAAGCTTGCATGTCTGAGCTTATTTGGGCAAACTGCCCTCCAGCTCTCATGAGCTCATCGTAACTTCCTTCCTCGCTTAGGACTCCTTGGTCGAGCACTATAAGTCTGTCTCACTTCCTGATAGTAGTGAGTCTGTGAGCAATGACAATGGATGTTGTTTCTTTCATCACATTGTCCAAAGCATCTTGTACTTTTTTCTGAGACTCTTCGTCTAAGGCTGAAGTGGCTTCGTCGAGCATCAAGAGTTGAGGCTGAGTGATGATAGCTCTGGCAACAGCGATACGTTGTTTTTGGCCACCTGAGAATTTGCTACCTTTGACTCCACATAAAGTGCTATAACCAGACGGCAAATCTTGATGACTGTCATAAACATAATTAGCTCCTTTAAGTGGCTCCAAAGCACTATCAGCAAATTTAGCCTCTTCCAGATGATCTGTGTGGAAAGTATCGATATCTTGGATGAAATCATGAGCATTAGCAACAATAGCTGCATCAATGATTTCTTTACCTGTAGCAGTTTGTTTTGCATAGCTAATGTTCTCTCTAACTGAATAATTAAACAGCACTGGCTCTTGTTGCACTAACCCAAACTGTGCTCTCAAACTTCTGATATTGTATTCCTTAATGTCATGTCCATCAATCAGAATTTGACCCTTCTGAGGGTCGTAGAACCTGTAGAGCAGTTGGATAATGGTGGACTTGCCTCCTCCTGATTGGCCCACAAGTCCCACACACTCGTTAGGAGAGATCGTCATGTTGAGTCCCTTTAAGATCCAGTTGTCAGTTCTGGTTGGATATCTGAACCAGACATCTTTGAACTCAATGCAGCCTTTGATGTTCTCTTTTGTAGCAATGATTTCGTTTGGATTGTGTTCGAATGGATCAATCATGCTAGGTTCATCAATGATATTATAAATCTTCAGTGCAGCATCAGCACCCTTGCCAGCAGCAGGGGCCTGCTGCTGGGCTTGCCCAGCTGAAATAGCAGCGAACATCATTATATAGATTGCAGTGAACATATTCTGAGGATTGTCATTATATTTAGCAACAAACTGAGCTCCTGAATAGAACAAGACAGCGTACATTGCAAATTGGACAAATTGTGAAAATCCAAAAATTGCCCCAGATACGTAATTTTTGATTAAATTTTGTCTTACTTTTGCACCAAGAATCTTTTTGTATTTTTCGATCAAAATGGATTCATTAGCAAATGATGCGACAGTGATATAGTTGACAATTGTGTCTGAAACTGTTGAGTTAACTTCAGCTTCTCCTCCAGCTCCGCTTCTCATTCCTTTCTCAGACACTCTAGTATTTACAGCTGCGGAAAGTACCATAATGGGCGAAATTCCAAGTGCAACCAAAGAAATTTTCCAATCATAAATTAAGGCTAACGCGACTCCAACAAAAAGACCGGTAAATCCTTGGATCATCATAGCCAAGGCTTCTGTCGAAGCTCCATTGAGATTATTGACTTCAGTAGAAAGGATGGCATTCAGCTGCCCTGGAGTATTTTCTTGTGAGTCAAACCATCCAACATGCTTCTTTAAGATTGCTGAATAAGTCTCCTCTCTGATATTTCTGGACATGGTCTCTGCAACACTCCCGAAAAAGAATTTCTCAGTAGTAACCACTATCAGAGCAACCACTCCGACTGATAGAAGAACTCCTCAGTAAAGAAGGAGTTGGTCATACTCTTCCTCAATTTTCATCATGATGAATAAGATCTTGGTCCATGCGACTGCAAATGCAGGAAAGACACATCCTGAAATCATGCAGGCTAGGATTCCAATGATAACAAATATGATTGGCTTGTTATGAACACAAAGCCTTTTGAAAAATCCTTTCTTCTTTCTTTGCTCTCTAAGAGTGCGAATCTGCTCATCAAACAGTTGTTGCTCTTGGTCGACGATTTCAGTGATCTCCTTCTCTCTTAATTTTGAAGCATTGACGTCATTGCTTAAATTCTCCAAAGCATGATTTCCTTTGATTGCCTGTTCTTTACTGGTACTTAAACCTTCTGAGCTCGAAGGATTGTCTGCATCCTGTTGGCTATTAACCAAGCCAGCGTAAATTCCTTCAGGATAAGACTCTAGCAGAGAAGAGTGGGTTCCCACTTCTTTGATATGCCCCTTATCGATAACAACTATTTTATCAGCATTACGAATGGTGGATAGTCTATGAGCAATAACTACAGTGGTGATGCGCTTTTCTCTATTGATATTTTCAATAGCCTTCTGCACTTCAGTCTCATTCTTCCTGTCAAGTGCACTGGTAGCTTCATCCAGGATCAGCAAGTCTGGCTGCTTCAGAAAAGCTCTTGCAAGTGCAATCCTCTGCTTCTCACCGCCTGAGAGTTGGCCTCCTGAGGCTCCAGCGTTGGTCTTGATGCCTTCAGACAGCTTGCTGATGAAGCTCATGGCATTGGCCTGCTTGAGAGCATGAATGATCTCGTCTTCGGTGGCGTCTGGCTTTGCATTAAGCATGTTGTCTTTGATACTTTCGTTGAACAGAACAGGTTCTTGGCCAACATATCCAACTTTGTGTCTGAACTGCCTAAGGTTAAGCTGTTTGAGGTCTTGGCCATTGACAGTCACCATTCCAGAGTCAGGGTCGTAGAAGCGTTCGAGGAGCTTGACAATGGTGGATTTTCCGGAGCCGGAGGGCCCAACAAAGGCAGTGGTTTTACCCTTTTCGATAGTGCAGGTTATGTTGTCAAGAGCTTTTTCTTCTCTGGTTGAATATTTGAACGATACATTTTCGAATTTGATGTCCGATGAAATTTCGTGTATATCCTTTGAGTTTGGATCATCAATAAGAATCTGAGGAACTCTCTCAATCACTTGCAGAGCATTGTAAGCTGCTATTCTCCCTTCAGCAATGATTTTAAAATTTGGAGCTGAAGTTCCCATTGCTAAAAGTCCAATAATTACACCAAAGAATACAGAGCAGACGTCTCCAGGTGTGTAATTTCTGCTTCTATTATGGTTATAAATCTTATAGTGAACAAATAGGCCTGCAAAGTAGAGTCCTAACGAATAAGCAAGATACATAAGCAAGTTGAAGGTACCCATTGAGAAGGCCATGATTGCTTTACCAACTCTTCCTTGCCTCCTAGCTTCATCAAGATGGCTGACATAGTTTTCAATCTCTCTTTTTTCTTGGCCAAAGGCTGACACTACTTTGATATTATTCAAAGCTTGCTCTGCATATGAAGAACTTTTAGCGTAAGCTGCAACTGACTTGGCGTAGCCCACTTTGATTCCACATGCCATGATGGCAATCCCAAAAAGGATAAATGGGAATGTTCCTAAAGCAGCAAATGTAAATTTCCAGCCGATGGTAAACGCAACTGCAAATCCTCCTAAGGATTGGGACATGCTATTGAGAATCATGACAAACTTCTCCCCACTGGCTGCTTCTATCTTATCTCACTCACTACTAATCTTTGAGGGGAGCTCAAGAGGATCCTTCTCGTCATACCAGGCAGACTCTTGCTGGAGGATAGATTTAAGGTACCTGTACTTGAACTCGTAGCCGACCTTTTCAGCAATTATTCTCCAGAACGAGAAAAAGAAGAAGGAAAGCACCCATACGATTGACCCTATGATCACAAATATCTTGGATAGCTTGGTAATTTCCTCTATAATAACTGTAAGAGACGAAGAGAACAAGGTTACGTACTTAAGGTGTCTTCACCTCCTGTAGCTGGATTAAATGAATCAGTAAGAGATCCAAAGAAGAACACAAACATAGGCATGGCAAGACCTCCTCCGATGGCTGCAACAAAGCCAAGGAACAGGAAGAACTTGTCAGGCCCTTCGAGGAACTGAAAGATTTCCTTAATCTTGCACATTTTAACATCATTATTAGATGCTTGACTTTTATTTTCCATTTTTATAATTAATTTAATAAAAATCTAACTTTTAAATATCCGAGCTTGGCAATTAATTTTCGAATATTTTCTCATTATCGCGTCACTAGGGGCAAATATTAATAATGAAATTCAATTTATCGCGCACTGAAGGGGTTTTGGGGTTTTGGGGTTTTGGGGTTTTGGGG